AATTAAATATTTTAAGCTCACCATTAAATTCCAAATTTAAATAGTCTTATAATCCCAATAATCGTAAACCCGCAAATATGTTAACTACTCACTATTAAATTTCAACTTCCCCAACATTAAATTTAAATCACAACAATTGTTTAATAGATATCTTATGTAAATACTATTACCTGTAAATTTTAAGTTTATAGTTTGTAAACAAGCGTCCACTGTAGAACCTACCTGGCTTAAGCTTTGGTATTTTTGGGTATTACTGTTTCTGCATATAAAAACCAGACACACCATCATCAAAGACACAGTCTGCATCATACAACACAACAATCGACATCATAGAAGACAACAGCTACCATCTTATTGTAAATAGTTTATTTGTAAATAAATACAGTATTGCAATCAGCATCGTGTTACAATTACACCACAACTCCATAGTAATAGCTATTATTTGCAAGAATATAAAAGTAGCCGTTTGAAATGTAAAAACTAAGTGCGGATTACTCGGCGACCTTCGGCAAATTTCGGTCTTTTTGAATATCTTGTAATATTTCTACACTGAGAAAAATTAATTTGTTAAATCAAAAGTTTTAGAAATGCTATGCATTTTGATATTAAAACAATAAACATTTTGCTGACATAAACTTAAATTTTACTTTCAATTAATATTTTGAGAATGTCAAATTAAAAATGTTATATTAATAGTCCATTTTATTTAAATCAGTATATCAACACATAAACGTATATGGTTGAATGTATTGAGATGTCCCCCAAGTAAAAATGATTATTTTTATTTTTGGTTGTTTCACTGTTAGTCTAGAATGGGTTTTTTGGGAAGCCACCAGGTCTAGAAATAACATAACATAAGTGGTTCTGCACTAAAGCAAGAATTTTAAGAAATCAATCATTTTGAATATTAGAGCTTCAGGTTAGGATTTCGTATGTTTTTTTACAACATCCCTTTGTATATTTGAAATAAGTTATTGTATCTTTTGACACCTTAATATTTTTAAAAATACAATTGTATATACATAAAATATTTATAAAATAAATCTACTTACTGAGATATTACCCTTCACGGTGGATAGGTTTTTAGATAGAAAATTAATGAACTTAAACTTTTGAAAACTCTCATCTGCATATAGATTCTAACTGACCTTCAGAAATCACATGCATCTATAATGTCGTAAACAGAGGTTTTTGCTTATAAATAAATTTAAAGTGATTAAAGCGCCATCCGTTGCATAAAATTTAAAGCAAAAACAAATTCACGGAGGATAGAATCAATTTTTGTAACACCTACATAAATGGTTATAAAAATTATTTCTTTTAATTTTTAATAATATTTTAGGTACCTATATTTTATTCGATTGCTTTGGATGTGTTTAATTTACTTAGTGAACTGATATTTTTAGTATGCTTTTACTACCTCAGATATTTGAAAACATATAGGTTAACCTAGAAAGAGTAACAGTTACGGAGGATAGGTTTTAGACTTTTAAAACATTCTGAAAAATAATTAATTGCGGTTAATATACAACAATGGGCCTTACATTTTACAACTATAGTTTTAAGTAATAATTCATCCTAACAAAAATAACCTTTGTATATACACGGTGTATATACAAAGTTACCTGCTCACCATTGCTAACTTGGCAATTATTTTTAGCTAACATACATGATCCTGAGAGAGTGTAAAAATCAACAGTGAAAATAATTTTTTTTACAAAATTATACAATACTCCAAATATTTTTTAAATACCAAATAAGTCATAAGAAAGTAAAATGTGTAAAAGAAAAGGGGAAAATGCCATAATGACAAATATCATTCAAATGCTAAGAAATAGATTTTTGTGGCCATCAAACGAGATAAATCCTGAAAGAAAAGGCGAAATTGTCATAATGACAAATACCTTTCAAATGCTAAGAAATAGATTTTTGTGGCCATCAAAAGCTAAGGAGATGAATCCACCTAGAAAATTTTACGTTGTTGCTGCTTTTATGGTTGGGATTTCCTTGATATCGTTGAATGGCAGCTTTATCCATTTTATATCACAGTTATCAAGTAGGTACTATGTATTATTTTTGATTATCTAATTAGTAAGGCCACGATCTCACCTCAGTAAATTATTAGGAATATATTAATAAAAAGAACACTGTTTAAGGTTTCACTATTTTATGTCTTTTTAAAAAATTAACAATTGTTTACACGGTAGCATCTTCAGAATAATTATTGGCTACAAATAATAACTCTTAAATTACTCATTTTTGACTAACTCATTTTTAGATAATAAGATTCTAAAGTTATCGTCAGATTTGTGGTTCTCTTGTATTAAATGGTTAGCATAAGGAGATGTAAGGTTTATATAAGATATTTTGTGTCGCCGGATTTTGAGGATTTTGTTGTTTTTAATAAATTTACTAAGGTTGTTGTTAGTTAAATGCAGCATTACTCTTGATTTTATTAAAGAAATTAGATACATTGGAGATATTGGAAAACTTTATTGATAGCTATTTTTTGTTTTTTTGTGATTTAGGATTTTGTTAATTAATGGTGCATCATCGCCGTTGTTAACTGCTATTTGTTTAATTAAATTTAATTCGTAATTCTATAGATACATAGAGTTATATAAGGCTATTTTGTGTGAAAAAGGGTGAAGAGAACTTTTATGTATAACTATATCTGTGTATCTGGGTGTATCTGACTAATTTCAAAAAAAAACATAAATTAAATAGTGAAACTTTAAAACAGTGTTGTTTTTTTCATAAATTAATAATATGGAGTTTCATCAAGTAAAGGTCAAGATAATCAACAAATTATTAAGAAATATTATTATATTATACGCTAAAGAATCGTGCGCGGTTAAGCTGTGCAATTGAAACTATGCGAACAAAATTTGTCGGGTAAGACCACCAGATGGCGCTCGCTTTGCAAAAACTCGATGCTTCTTTATATGCAAAATGTTTTTGTTTTAATTTAAGTTCATTGAGAGTTAAAGATAGCAAATAGCAAATGTTGCCATGTTAAGTTATGTTATAAATTATACAAACGTTAATTTTTCAGAAAGAAATTATGATAATGTTGACATGGACGCTGCGAGTATAATAAGTCTTACAGGGATTTACTTTACCATTTTTTTCTTCGTTATGAATATCAAAAGACTGAGTTTAATCTACCAAAAATTGTCCGATTTTGAAACTTACGGTAAACCCCCAAATTTCGAGGAGGATCATAAGACCTTGAATTTCTACTCCAAGTTGTTTTCTATTTATATATTAGGCCTCATGGTTTTCGTTTCATTGCCTGAGAGGGGCGAATGTGAAAACGCCAAGGCTGAGAACAGAGTTTGCGGCATTATTATAGAGCCTTATTTGATTTTTGATTATAAAAAAATACCAGGTATAATTTTTATAAAGGTCAGGGCCGGACTTGAAGTTTCGAGGTCCTGGGGCCAATTTCTTGTGAAGTAAACTAGTATGGGAGGCCGCGACGGATGCTAAATCCGACCCTGAGAAATATATTAGATTAAAAAGTGTTTCGTCCTGATAAAGAAAGTGCGTACCTTAATTTTAAGTCAAGTCATAGTAGAAATTGAGTCACTTTCACAAAGTTTTTTATATTGCCAATTATTAATTATTATAATGGTATTAAAAACTTAATTTATATAAAAATGTATCCCATTTTCTTTATCAGAGTGGCCGAATTTTTCCATCTCTTAAATTTAACATCTTAATTCACATATTCCTAATTTAAGCATACAATATTTATATATGGATTTCTAAAATATTTGGTATCTCAGTGGTCTATCAATCAGGAGCGGTTTTGTCTTATCTTGCAGGGGAAACTGTTGAATATATAATTTTAAGATTAAGACATGTTAAAACCTGTTATTCAGATGCTTTATCAGATAAAGAGTCTACAGAATGCAACAGACGAAAACTTAATTTTGCCATTTCTTATCATAGTTTTGTTATAAGGTAACTTTGGTATTTTCGTTTTTAATTAATTGTTCATAAAGTTTTTTTTAGTGTACATGGTGAATTTGAAAAAGCTATCAGTGCATGCATGTTTGTCCATATGCTATTCACTGGGGCTATATTAGGATTTATTGGCTATACTTTAACTAAAGTAAATAATCTTGAGCCAAAACAAACAAATTTAGAGACGATTTTGGGCACATATAACTTATTTTTTCTATTGTCAAAATTAAAATTCTTTCTAGAAAGAAAATGTATTTTAAAAATTTAAAATTTAAAACCCATTCGTCTCTAGAGTTGAGTTTTTATTTGGCAGGAATTTTTTTCGACATTAATGAATAATTTTAGACGTTTTCTTTGGATGCTTTGGCCCTTTTTCTCGGCTGGTTTTTAGCACTTTTGATAGTGGCCAGAAGTGGTCAAAGAATTATAGATGAAGTAACTTATTTCAACAAAAATTGTGTATTTTCTTATCAATATTTTTTAAGAGTGAATCTTTAGCAGAGGCAATTTATGATAGTCCATGGTATAACTTGGATATTAAAATTCAGAAAGACGTGCTTTTTGTTTTGAAAAAAAGTCAACAGCCTTTGTATTTTAAGAGTGGTCCTCTTGGGATTTTTTCGAATGCCATGGGCATGGCAGTAAGTTCACAAAATTTAGTTTTAACAAAAAAAAAAGTATAAAAATCTTTTTATAATTCAATTATTTCCGTATTTACACTCATACAAACTCTAAATTTAATATGTCTTAGGTAATAAAGTCATCATATTCCTTCTTGACCTTGATGACAAGTACATCCAATTAAATATAATTACATGTAATAATAGAAAAATGGGTTAGATATGTCTTACATTTAGCATAAATTATATATCATCTTTTCCACGTTATAACTTGCATCACGCCATACAATTAGCTTATGTAGCATAGCATTGCTTTGATAATATTGTTAAAATGCCTCGGATTGTTATTCTTGAGAATAGCTTGGATATACTTAGAAATAGATTTATTTGGCCCAAAGATGGAAGAGAATTTAATCCGGGAAAATTGTTTTATGTTTCGTTCATAATAGTTAATTTTATGTCGGCCTGTGTAATAAATGGAAACTGGGTGCATCTAATAAAAGTACTAAAAGGTATGTTTATATTTATAATGGGAGAATCGTTTCGTTTCGTGGTCCACTGGAAGTTTCTGGTGAACGAACAAATATATTGATTTGAAATTTTAAAATTAAATTTAAATCAATTTTACTATAATATTTTAAACAAAATTACTAGAGGATGTCCTATAGCTAAACAATTGACAAGGAATCTTTTAAATAAAGTTTTAAGATTTCAAAAATTCCACCGCCATATTCGCAAACCAGAAGTGGCATTTGGTTTAAAATATTTTAGAAAAATATACTTAAATAAACGCTTTTAAAATTTCAAATCGATATCATTTTTCTTTCCCCGGAAACATCTAATGGACCTTGAATTTGAAATACCCTGTATAAAATATTAAAACCTGTTTCAGAAAAAAATTATACTAATTTAGACATGGACATAGCTGCCGTACTGAGTTTGGCCGGAATATTTTTTTTCAATTTCAGTTTTCTATTCTTCATAAAAGATTATGCAAAAATAATTCACAATCTCTCAGATTTTAAGCCCTATGGAAAACCCGTTAAGTTCGATGAAAAAACGAAAAAACTCAACTTTTACTCGAAAATACACGGGACCTACATGTTTTTTTGCATATTGATTATTGTTGTTTCTTCTAATATTAAGGTGGGGTGGTGTTCTTTAAGAAGTGTATACGATTGTGGCATTTTTATACAGCCTTATATGCTTTTTAATATTGATCATTATCCAGGTAAAAAACTTAATTAATAATATACCAAGGAAATACTTTAATTATTATTTTTTTAGGAAGAATATTCTTCTTCATTTTAAAATACATTGCTTTATGCATGACTTATCAGACTTCGGCAAATTTGTCATTTTGCATGAGCGAATTGGTGGAACACATAAATATAAGGCTAGATGATGTGATGGAGAAATTTAGGGAAGCATTAAATGAAAAAAACGAAAATCAAGAACGTGATTTGAAAAGGGCTATCCAATATCACAACTTTGTTATAGAGTAAGAACTGATCCACTCAGAATTGCTTTACTAATAGTTTTAAACTTTTGTAGGATTTCTAATGAATTTAACGTTTCGTCGAGGCAATGTTTATTCCTACACTTACTTTTAACCGGCATCATATTAGGTTTGATGGGATATCTGTCAATATACAAATTAAGTTTTGATTGTCTCGTGATTTTCATGGGATATTTTTCGTCCATGGCTTTGGTCAGTGGCGGAGGGCAAAGAATAATGCACAAGGTAAAAAAAATCAAAATATTTATTTTGATAAAAAATATTATACTTAACTTATTTTATAGAGTGTTTCTGTATCTATGGCTGTTTACAATACTTCTTGGTACACTTTAGACGTAAAAATACAAAAATTGTTGGTTTTGGTTATTGCAAGATGTCAAAAGCCTTTGCACGTTAGGGCTGGACCTTTTGGAATTATGAATTATGCTTTGATTTTGGGAGTAAGTTCAAAAAAATACAATCTGTTATAAAATATGGTAAATTCAATATTTTTAGGTTCTTAAAACTTCCTATTCTTGTATAACCTTTTTGCTAGCTACAAATAGGGCTTAATTGTTTTTTTAAATGCCCCCAATTTATTTAAAAAATACACATCTCAAGAACATTAATTTAAAATTGTCACCAAATTTTGCAAACGTATTTTAAAATAGATGAAATAAAAAACTTTAAAATTAATCCCTGCGCATCCGCCATTTTTGCAACAAATTTAATTCGCGCTTTCAATTTGAAAATAGTGCTTGGTAAAAATTCGCACAGTAGCATACATTTTAAAAATGGTAGGACAAATGCAGTAGTAGAAAAAAAATGGTAGAAAATTTGCACAGTAGACGTTGTAACTAGCTGTAACCGCTGGTTTGAAATAAAAAGGTCCTAAGAAGTTTATAAACTTAAATAAACTTAACCTTAAACAAAGAAAATATTCTTTTTATATATTTATATATATTCAAACTATGTGGTTTACCCTAATCGATTATTTGATTAATCGATTATTGACCAATCGATTATTTTATTATTCGAAATTTTTTTTATTTTAATTATTTTAAATTAAGTGTGTACGTACATCATTTTTACTTATACAATATTTAATTTCCATACCTAATTATCTAATCGCAATAATTATTATAATTAAAAGAATCAAATATGTTAATAGAAATAATATGACCAATTGAGGAGCATTTTTTAAACTAAACAAACTAAAAATAGTGATTTTTCATAAAACACATTTTTATTTCTTATGCCGGGTTTATAAAATGCTGCTAAAAATTTAACCTTATATTAGTATTAAAAAACAAGAAAATTAATAATTTAGTCGATGAATCAGTAATCGATTTATGAAATACTTGATTAATTCTTTAATAATCGATTAACCAAAAAATCGAATTATCAAAAAATATACTAATCGAAAAAATCGATTAATTTAGATAATCAATAATCGATTATGTATTTCGATAATTGCCCAGCCCTACTTAAGAACCCATGTCCAAAAATTGTTTATTTTTGAGATACAAGGTGTTAAAGTTTTTATATTTATTTAAGATTTATTTAACATAAAAAATAAATTATATATTATTATAAAGTTTCGTATGCTTTAAAATCCAACGAAAAAAATCATCAAGGTTTAAAAGCGAATTTTGAATTTTTATTAATAATATAAAAGTCTCTTTCTTATCACCATAACTTATATAACAAACCACCATTGTATTTTAATATAGACACCAACGTTTTAAATACCTTTCTAAGAAAAAAAACAATGTGCATTACGTGTCCATAACAGATTGACCACAAAAGCAAATATTTTCAAATTTAAATGAATTTCAAATAATAATAACAAAGTGAATTTACCAACAATTATTAAAAAAAAATTGTAATTATGTAAAGTTCATGTTTTTAGTACTGCAAACCCCCAATAAAAATGTACTTACAATTTTAAAATTTAATATTTATTTGAATGAATATTTGAATGACTAACGTGACGTCAAGAGCTAGATATGTGAAATTTAATAGATACACTATTGTCTTTAATAAGTAAGATATAGGTCATATCTTTAGCAAAAATTATATATAATTAACTTAAAGAAGTATAATATATTTAATATACCTAACAGTGTTAAATAAGTTAGATGTAGGATACTTTTGGCAAATTATATATCATCCTAAGTAGGTACTTACTTAATGGAAATGGAATAAATTATGGCCTCGCCCTCTATATAAACGGTTAGTTTGCTAATCAAAGCTTTTGTAATGTATACGTATAACCAGAAGGTTATAAAATGTCTAAAATTGTTATTTTTGAGAATAGCCTGAGTATTCTTAGACATAGATATGTTTGGCCTAAACGTGGAAGAGAATTTAATCCTGGAAAATGGTTCTATTTTTGTTTAATTTTTGTTTATTTTGTGTCCTTGTGTACGATGAATGGAAATTGGATACATCTGATAAAATCATTTAACGGTGGGTCCACAATTGTATGAAAAAAAAACATTGTTGAATCTTTTTTTGTAGAAAATAATTATGAAAATATAGAGATGGACGTGGGTAGCATACTAAGTATATTGGGCGTATTATTCTTCAACTTCAGCTTTGTAGCTTACATTAAAGAATATGCAAAAATAATTGAAAACCTCTCAGATTTCAAGCCCTATGGAAAACCCGGTAACTTTGATGAAGAAACAAAAAAACTAAACTTATATTCAAAAATACACGGACTTTATATTTTTGTCTGCATAGTGATTTTCGCCGGTTCATCCACCATTAAGTTTGGATGGTGTTCCACGAAAAGTTCTTACGAATGCGGAATTTTCATACAGCCGTATATGCCGTTTGATATTGATCATTACCCAGGTATGTTATTATTTTAGATAAATGGAGGTTTAAATTACGGTAAAAATTAACATTAATAAAGTACACACAACCAATCTTTTATGGAATCACTCAGTAATTACGAGAAACAGTATTTTACTTAAAAAAAATAATTGAAAATAAAAAGCACCTTATTCAAACCAATTTTATTACAAAAAACATAAAAAATCCTAAAACAAATTTTGTATTAAACAAATAACAAAAAATGTGAAATTCTCTTTTTTTCTTCAAATATTTTATGTATTTACATAATACAAAAATTAAACAATTTTAAGTAAAACAAATATTTCTGGTTTTAATTTTTGATTTTTTTTAATAAAAAAAAAGATTTGTATTTATCTTATATTAAATATTTGTTGGAAAAAATCTTGATCTTTTAGTTTAGAATCTATAGTGGTATCACAACCTAAAAATGCCGGAACGGAAATAAATATCGATTTGAAATTTAAAAGCGTTTATAATCCATTTAAGTTTTTTTTAATATTTTGAACAAAATTCCACTTCAGGTTTGACATCCAATATATTTTTACATTTTTAAATTCTACATAAAATTTTGAGTAAAATTACTGTACCATTTCCTATACCTAAAGTAAATAGTTTTCGAGTTCCCTATACCTAAAGTTAATAATTTTGTCGTACTGTGATATAATCAGTCCTCTAGAAAATTTGTTTTATTCAATTTTTCTTTATTTTTGTAATAAAATTGGTTCAGATAAAATGTACTACTCAAATATTCTTTACATGATATTAAAGGTATTTTCTAAAAACATATTTTTTAGGAAGGGCGGTTTTCTTTATTACAAAGCTCATGGCTTTATGTATGACATACCAAACCTCGCCTTCTTTGTCATTTTTTGTATTTGAGTTTGTGGAACACATAAATCTAAGGCTGGACGATGTTATGGAAAAATTTCGTGAAGCCTTAAAGGAAGGAAACAAAAATCAGGAAAACGAATTGAAAAAAGCCATCCAATATCACAACTTCGTTATAGAGTATTACAATATGTATATCGGCACAATCTAAGAAATTTTTGTTACACCAAAAAAAAACAATATCAATTTACTATTTTGATAAGTCCTCTCTAAAAATGAATTAATCAAAAATGGCTAAATGTCATAGCGAAAAACCAGTCACTAATATTTCTTGTCAATAGCAATTTGTATCCCAACATTTAGCAGTCAATTTCCATGTAAAATTGTCCCCTGAATCCGAAAATGTCGTCAAAAGTTCGAAAAGTAGAACAGTTTTTAAGATATATCTATTAGGGTGTCCCAAAAAAAATATATTTTTTTTCTTCTCGTCTCTTGTGAAAATATGTTGGTTTGTCATGTTTTAAGAGCCCTGTCAAAAGATCAGCACCATTAAAAAATTTTTAGGGGTCGCTCAAGATTTTTAAAAATTACCAAAATCGTCAAAAATTGGATTTTTTCTAATTTTAATTTTTTTTCTCGTTCCGATATTATTTTTTAATTTAAAAATAATAATGATTCTGAAAATTTCAAATCGATATTTTAATTTCTAAAGGTCGCTCAAGATTTTTTTAACTTTCAAAGTAGAGTATTTTGAATGTTTTCGAGCGACCTCTGAATATAAATATCAACGAACTTTTAGCGACCTTTAGAAATCAAAATATTGATTTGAAATTTACAGAATTTTTATTATTTTCAACATAAAAAATAATATCAAGACGAGAAAAAGAATTAAAATAAAACAAAAATTCAATTTTTGACGATTTTGAAATTTTTTAAAAATCTTGAGCGACCCCTACAAAATTTTTAATCGAGCTGATATTTTGAAAGGGCTCTTACAGCATGATAAACTAACATATTTTTACAAGAGACAAAAAAAAATATATTCTTTTTTTTTGGGACACCCTAATATCTATATAGTAAATTTGTTATATAATATGAAATTGACTATACCTCGAGAACTGCTCTACTTTCATAATTTTTTCATATTTTCAGATTCAGATTCGGGGGCCAATAAGAATTGGCTATTAAATGTTGTATATATACTTATAAGTGAAAAAGCAGCCACTAATAACTGTAGAAAGTAATCATTTTTTACTAATTCATTTTTAAAGAGTTAAAATGGGTATGAAAATGCAATATTTTGGGTCAAACTAGGTTTTAGTTTTCAATATAACTTCCTTTTAGCAAGATAAATTTATTCGAACCATTATGCTCTTCATTCCTTCAGAATATAATTATTTTTTTCAAAAAATGCATCTACACTCTCTAAAAATGAATTAGTCAAAAATGATAATTACCATAGTTATTAGTGGCTGCTTTTTTACCTGTATCATGGTATCTCAAAATTTAACAGCTAATTCTTATGTAAAATTGTCCTCTAAATCCGAAAATACCGTCAAAAATTATTAAAGTAGAGCAGTTTTTGAGATATAGTCGATTTTATATTAAATGGAAAATTGCCTTTATCTCAAAAACTGTTTTACTTTTTTAACTTTTGACGAAATTATATTTTTAGTTAATAATTATTATATACAGTATTTTTTTAGTTTGTTCAATGAATTTGACGTGGCATCAAAACAATGTATGTTTGTGCACTTGGTTTTAACAGGCATAATATTAGGTCTAATGGTTTACCTGTCGATATCAAAATTTACATTTGATATTATCGGAATATTCATGGGATACTTTTCATCTATGGCTTTAGTCAGTGTCGGCGGGCAAAGAATACAAGAAAAGGTATCAAAGTCAATTAAAAATGTTTTTTTATCATAACCTTTTTTTTAAGAGTGTGTCGGTGTCTACGGCAGTTTACAACACTTCTTGGTACAGTTTGGATGTAAAAATACAAAGGATGTTGATTTTGGTTATGGTCAGAAGTAGGAAGCCTTTGAACGTAAGGGCTGGACCTTTTGGTATTATGAATTATCCTTTGATTTTAGGAGTAAGTTCAAATAATACAATAAAATTTACAATACAATATATGGTTTCCTTTTAGGTACTTAAAACGTCGTATTCTTGTCTAACCTGTTTACTTACAACAAATGAGGCCTAATTGTAATTTTAGAAGCAATTTGTTTGCACATTACCTAATAATATATTATATTGTTACATTGTTGCAATGTTACACTGGTGCAAACTTTAATTTTAGATTTAGCATTAAAATTGTTAACCAAAAATAAAAGTATCAAAAATAACCTCATTAAAAGTTTTATTGAAATAATGTCATGATATCATTCCGTATAATCGCGAAATGGAAAATTGAAATTCAATTCGAAGGCAGGCTTTATTAATTACTGAAATAATAGTTTTTTGCAATGATACGCATAGCAGATATGATATTTAAACGGAGCAAGTCAGGAGCACAGTGACTCAGATTGAAATTACTGCTAAACAAAAGCCTAAACTCAGTATCATCAAAGCTGGGAAAGTTACTTCTCAAGAGTATCCAGTTACTTTTCTAAGATACTTAAAACAAAATAACTTTGAGTTAAAAATATCTTTAGTTACAAGATACTTTAAAAAATATCTAAGATACTTTTGAGTAACTAAGATACTTTTAAGTAACTAAGATACTTTTAAGTGACAAGATACTAAAGAAATTGAGTATTCGTCCAGTGTCAAATTGGTATTTGGATCGACGAATATTTAAATTGGGATATGCATATCGAAAACCTAGTGTCAAGATTAAATGGAGTATATTTTGCGATGCAAATACTTAAAAATTATGTCAATGTGGATAATATGAAAACGGTATATTTTGCGAACTTCCAAAGTTTGTTAAGATATGGTTTGATATTCTGGGGTAAAACATTTTCTGTTTTCAGAGTTCAAAAAAGATTGATACGCATCATACTCTCTAAAAATGAATTATACAAAAATGACTAATTACTACAGTTATTAGTGGCTGCTTTTTCACTTGTACCATGGTTAACAATGGGATACCATGATATCCCAAAATTTAACAGCAAATTCTTATGTAAAATTATCCCCTGAATCCAAATTATGAAAGTGAAGCAGTTTTTGAGGTATAGTCAATTCCATATTAAATGGAAAATTGACTATATATCAAAAACTGTTTTACTTTTTTAACTTTTGACGACATTTTCGGATTCATTCATTTTTGACTAATTCGTTTTTAGAGAGCATGCAACTTAAAATCATTAGAATCTTGCAGAACACACTCAAAAGCAACTATGTCTTGGCACTGGTTGGTTTATATATTTATCTACGCCAGTGAGATAAGAACTTCTTATCCCACTCATTTTGAGTGAGATAAGAAATTCATTAACGCACGTGTTTTTCTCTGCTTTTAACCAATCAAATAAAAAAGTCAAAATGTCAAAATGTCAAAATAACCCTAAATTAAGTCTTAGACAAAAATAATTACCGTTTATTTCTTCATTTAGAGGCGTAGATAAAAATTTGTACAATATACGTGTGATAACGCTTTTGCGATTGCAAATTTCGCATGCGTACTCTCTAAAAGTGAAACAGTGAAATTTTCACTATTTCCGTCAGTGAGTTATTAATCACTGTAAAATTAGTGTTTTTCAATATAAATTAGTGAAATTTGAACTTCTCCAAATTAGTGTTTTTTTATTATCACTACTTTTCCGGAACTCTCGACATAAAATAGTGAAATTTTAACTTTTTTGAACTTAGTTATCATAACTACTAAACCTATTTCACTAATTTGTACAGTGTAATTTCCACTAGCAAAGAAATCGCTACATGAAAAAGTGAGTATTCACTAATTGCTAGTGGTATACTTATCACTGCGGCAAATAGTTACTATGCACTGTCAATCAGTGAAAATCCACTGTTTCATTTTTAGAGAGTACGTTAATAAAGCTCTTATCCCACTTATATCGTAAATAACTAATATATGAATTAGTTTTGTTTTTGGTAAAAGTTTCACTGTTAGTCTAGAGTGGGGTTTTTGGGAAGCAACCAGGTCTAGTAATAACATAACATAAGTGGTTCTTGCATGCAAGAATTTTAAGAAATCATACATTTTGAATATTTCGTGTTTTTTTTAACAAAATAAAATTGTACATACATAAAATTTATAAAAAAAATCTACTTACTGAGATATTACACTTCACGGTGGATAGGTTTTTAAATAGCAAATTAATGAACTTAAACTTTTGAATTATAAAACAGCAACACTCTCATCTGCATATAAATTCTAACTGACCTTCAGGAATCACATGCATCTATAATGTCGTAAACAGAGGTTTTTGCTTATTTAAAATGATTAAAGCGCCATCCGTTGCATAAAATTTAAAGCAAAAACAGATTCACGGAGGATAGAATCAATTTTTGTACATAAATGGTTATAAAAATTATTTATTTTAATTTTTAATAATATTATATATTTTATTCGATTGCTTTGGATGTGTTTAATTTACTCAGTGATATTTTTAGTATGCTTTTACTACCTCAGATATTTTAAAATATATAGGTTAACCTAGAAAGAGTAACAGTCACGGAGGATAGGTTTTTAGACTTTTAAAACATTGTATTGTAAAAAATAATTAATTGCGGTTAAAAATCTGGAAACTGAGCTGTAATATCTACTTAATTATGAAAGATCAAAACACAATAAAAGTGTAGGTCTAACTCATTTAATTTTATTAAATTTTGTGAGATTCACCCATTTGTACCAAATTCTTCAAAAAGGAACTTTTTAACTATATTTGTAGCAAAGAGACAGGACAAACGAGGACCGGTAGAGTGGCCAGCGAGATCTCCAGATCTTAGCCCCCTCGATTATTTCCTATGGGGCTACTTTAAATCAAAGGTCTACAACAGACCACAAAAGAAGACTGATATTATATTATAAAAGCAAGACTAATATAAATAATAATTATTTATATATTATTATTATTAGAATAATAATATATAAAAAAATGCATTTGTTCACATATTTAGATTTGGAAATTGAATCACTGTAGGACGATGATGATGATGATGGATAACGAGACGAGCACGGCACAGTTGATTTGCATTATTTCCTCGATAAACTAGAAATTCCCGCGCGGATATTAAATTACGATCATTTGTTTCGGAAATGAACGGTATCCGTGACTTCGGCGCCGGTAGGCTCGTTACGTCAACGTTAAACCGCCAATTTCTCTCTCTCGATCCTCGAAAAATCACCGTCCCCCGAACGCTGTATCCATCGGTTTCCTTTCGTTCCTAGCGATCAGGTTGTTACTACAATTATTGTTATTATTTTTAACGCCTTCCCTGATTTGACTATCGAGACACGTGCGCTTTCCGAGAAACCGCTAACGACGCCAATTACGACGGGTTGCTCGATGCGACAGTCGACAATTAAACAATATCGAATCAAATGTCACAATAATGTCGTTTCCAAAGCGATTTATTTTGTTATTTTTGCATTATCTTTGATCTAGAAAAATCTTTGCTTTTTAGTGATTTTTTCTCAAAAAATTATAGAAAAATGAAAAGACGTTCAAAAACAGTTATATACATTGGTTATAAGTTATAATCACTGCAAAATAAAATCACTAAATCCATTGGTTATAACTTATAACCAATGGATTTAGTGATTTTATTTTGCAGTGATATCATAAATAAACAAAATCACTTATTTTTTATTATTTTTTTTATTTTGTACATAGGTAAGTTATACAGGGTGTCCGCAAAAAGGAGGTCAATCCGTTAACCATATGGGTAATTTTCAAGAAACACCCGCTTTCAGGAAAATGAATATCAAAATATTTGTTTTGCATAAATTGACTTTTGGTTGGATTTTTATAAATGTTTAGAGTTTTGTTTACTTACATTTAAGACAGGCAGTGCACTTTTTAATTTTTTTTACGTTTTTTTCAGAAAAATGTGTTTAGCTAGCTTTATATATCTCCACTGTGTTACCAATTTGAAATCCACAATTTAATTCAATAAAAAAAGTTGTTATAAAAATAATTTGAAATAAAATGTACTTAGTTCACAAACTTTTGACTCCAATTTTTTATTGTATTTTTTATTAAAAATTGTAGGTATGCTTTTTTTTTAAATATGTATGTATGTTCGTTTAAATAGAAACCATTCCGATTCTTTGTTAAAAAAAACAATACCATTAATATGTTCTTTTAGTCACTGTATTAGTGAATTAAACTTTAATTTATAAACATGTATTACCAAGTGATAGTGTATAAAAATCATTTTAAGTATTTTTTTTTAACAAAAACTAAAAAAAGTAACGAAATAGACATTGGTATCACAACGGACAGGGGTACACAAAGGACTTAATCAGATAACGTAAAAAAGAAACTATATAGAGTGGTACGATTTTAAAGTAATGCATAAACAAAATCCCTTGTAGTGGTGCTCACTTGCAGAATAACAACTTAGATTTCTAAATTGTAGACACCCTTTTTCTTTGACTATAAGCTGGTGAAGGTCCCTTTTGGTACTTTTTTATTGCGTGGAATTTTTCCTTGGATGTAATCTATATCATGAGTTGTAATTAAAAATAATTTTAAATTGGTTAATCAACTACTTTTAATAAAAGCGACGGTAAATATCCACTTTGTTGTAGAAAAATTCTATTGCGTTACCCTAAATTCCATTGCGTTACCATAAGAACATAGTGGACTCGGTAACGCAGTGGACAAAGTTTTGTAAAACCATATTTAAAAAATAATAATAATATATTATAGTCATTAATTACTCTCAATGAGCTTTAGTGCCCTAAAATAAACATAAACATGAAAAATAGTATTTTTTCTTACCTTATTTTTATTATTTTTTTGAGTAACTTAGCGGACAAACAATTATTACATTCGCGTTACCCGCACCTGTTTCAACCGATATCTTCTTCCTGATTGAATAAATAAATTCAGCTGGGTAATACGTACGTCCGAACATCATTTGTTGAGCACGTGAGTACCAAAAAAGTTGCCATATATATGTTTTTTTTAATATTCTATCGGTAACGCGACGGACGTAACGCAACGGAAAAAATGTCTGGGACACGAGTCAAATTTAAAAAAAGTAGATTAAAATTAATTATTTTATACA